GAAACGATCCATCAGATTCTCTTCCATCGGAATCGTTTGCTCATTCTGTCGTCGTCACTAGCAGCATCTCCGTCTCCCCATCTCGTCGCGGTAAGCCATTCCCTCAATCACATCTTACAATTTTCAAAAAAAGGATTTTGATTTTGAATGGGTTTCTTGGGTTTTCGTTTTTCGAGATGATAGGGTTTCGATTTGTACTACGAATTTGATATGAATGTACCGGGAATTGATAACATTTGGAGTCAATTTTGAAATTAGGGTTTCAAGTAAAATTAATTTGGAGTTTTAATTTGTAATGGGTTTTGGGTTGCGAGATGTTTTGATTTGTACTAGTATTATGGTTTGAAAAGGATATGTGTCGGGGTTTGATATGAATTAGTGTTGATTTCGAATGGGTTTTGATTTCGAAGGAGATGTCGGGTTTTTGATTTTGATATATGTATCAGGTTTGAAATTAGAGTTTGAAGAAAAATCAATTTGGATTTTGGTTTCAATTGGAGATGTATGGACTTGTTCTATTTCTTTCTTTGTACTAGGATTTCGAATGTGTTTGCGGTTTTGATATGAATTGGGAGTAGATGTATATGGTTTGAAATTAGGTGTTTTGTGTGTGTTTTGATTTGCTTCTTGTGGATTTTGCAGAAATGGCTCCTAAAACCAAGGGAGGAATGTCGAAGAAAGGGACTTCAAAGGGATTCACTTCAAAGAAATGGTCTTCAAAGGGAATCACTTCAAAGACTTCTAGTAGTAGCTTCCAAAGATATGCTGTGAGCGATTCAAGTAATGGGTCAGAATCAGAATCTGGAAATGATCATACGCCATCACAGGAGATGGGTCAGAATCAGAATCTGGAAATGGGTCAGAAGGTATGTAACTGCTTCTGGACAAATGTAGTTCTGCGTAGGACTACTAGTACTAATAGGGAGAACTGTGAGTAGTTAGGATGACTGGTATTACTAANGAGGACTGTGANTATTTAGGATGACTGGTACTACTAGATTTAGTACTATGTATAACTGTGAGTATTCAGGATGACTGGTACTGCTAGCTTTTAGTACTTAGGATAANTGGTAGTACTAAAGTACAATGGTTGGATTATGCTTGGATTTTGTTTGGATTGCAGGAGAAAGAGGATATAGAACCCCAACCGTCGGCATAAGAGAAAGAAGATTCAGAACTCCAACCGTCGGCACAGGAGACGGAGGATTCAGAACCCCAACCGTCGGCACCTCAAAATTTTTTCCTCAAACCTACGGAATACAATAAGCAGTGCAAGATACAAACCAGGTGCGATTTGAAAATTTTCTTGGAGATCATAATGGAATTTCCACCA